TTCTATGCACTCCATTGTTGACTCAAAGTATGAAAGTACAGGATGGCAAATTATTTTATAATTATTTTACAAATGTAATGGTATTATAGCATAAAAGTTAGATTTCTCAGGAAAATATTTAATATTTTACATTTCATTTCAGTAGTCTGAGCTGAGTCTAGGTTCTTCTGTCATTTTTTTCCTGGTTGTGTTTTAGATGACACAGCTAGAAAAGGATGACAGTATATATATTCTTTTTTTTTTTTTTTTTTGGAGACAGTGTCTCCCTGTAGTCCCAGCTGGCCTGGAACTTGCTATATAGACCAGGCTGGCCTTGAACTCACAGAGATCCGCCTGCCTCTGCCTCCCAAGTGCTGGGATTAAAGGTGTGTGCTGAGAGTATATATATTCTTAAGTTTTGTTGATAATTTTTTGAGCCTTGTTTTGCCTTAAAATAAGCTTATTTGGTAACTGTTAAAAAAACAATGCACTCAGAGTATCTGTTGAATCAGCCTAGTTTAGTGGCATCTGCATGTAAGCAGTCCAGAGACTGAAGCAGGTGGGTTGCAAATTCCAGATCCAAATCTATCTCAATATAAAACTGTCATGAGTTCAAGCCCAGTCTGGCCTGGGTAGTTAGTTCCAGGGCCAGCCTGAACTACAGAACCAGATCCTATATCAGAAAACCCAAAACAGCAACAACAGAAAACCCCAAGGGTCTCTAGATTAGGTGGTCATACTGTGTAAGGATTAATTTCTGCCTTAGGATGCTCTTGTTTGGAGGAAGCTGATATTGAAATAATATGTCTGCAATTCACTGGCAAATGGTTTTGTAAAAGGCATGTGTGCATATGTATTAGATACAATGGTAGGGTGACTATGATAAAATACTAAAAATTAGGACATCTGAAGAAAAACACAGAAGACTTTTTTTTTCTTTTTCCCATTCCTGAAACTTTTTTTTTTTCTTTTTTTTGGTCTTTTTGAGGCAAGGTCTCCCTGTAGCTCCAGCTGGCCTGGAACTCACTGTGTAGACTAGGCTGGCCTTGAACTCACAGAGAACCACCTGCCTCTTCTGGGACCAAAGGCATGAGTCACCACACCTGGTCCCTCAGAAACTTAAAAAAAACAAAATTATGCTGGGTGTGGTGGCGCACACCTTTAATCCTAGCACTTGGGAGGCAGAGGCAGGCAGATCTTTGTGAGTTTGAGGCCAGCCTGGTCTACATAGTTCCAGGACACCTGGGGCTACAAGGAGACCCTGTCTCAAAAAGACCCCCCCCCCAAATTTTATATATATATATTTATATTTCTTTTTTGGTCTTTTGAACTCACTATGTAGACTAGGCTGGCCTTGAACTCACAGATCCACCTGCCTCTGCCTCCTGAGTGCTGGAACTAAAGGTGTGCGCCACCAGGCCTGGCAAAAGAATATTATTTTTATTTTGTATGTATGAGTGTTATGCCCACATGTATATAAGTGCACCTGTGCTGTGTAAAGCCCATGGAGGTCAGAAGAGGGTGTTGGACTCCCCTGGAATGGGAGTTAAAGATGGTTGTTAGTTACCATGTGGCTACTGGGAATTGAACCCAGGTCTTCTGCAAGAGCAGCCAGTGTTCTTAACTGCTGAGCCATCTCTCCATCCCATTATTCCTGGAACTTTAACTTCAAAATTAAAAGTTAAGATTTGATGGTGAGAGAGGCTGTGTAAATGTCTTGAAATTTAACTTCGTAAATCATGTTGTATTTATAGGTATTTAAAAGCTTCAAGAGATTTTAGAGGTCTACTTCAATTCCATCATTAAACAAATAGAACGAAGCTTCAACTTAAGATCCTAACACTGGCTTATTAAGGACTAGTCAACATAATAATAGGACTGTACACAAGCTAAAATCCTTTAATAAGGCTTGGCATTTTTATTTATCTTGGTGTAATTATTAATCTTCAGAAAACTCCTATTTGAGAATTGTACAACCATAATAATTCTCAGAGAGGAAAAGGAGACCCTGAAAGATTAGACATTGAAACGAGGATGTGTTCTAATTACAAACGGCTGGTCAGGCCTGCCAGATGGCTCAGTAGGTAAAAGGTGCTTCACTGCCAAGTCCAGTGACTTGAGTTTGATCTCCAGGATCCACGTTATGGAAGAAGAAAACCAACTTCCACAGTTTGTCCTCTGACCATCGCATGCATTCTGTGGCATGCATACTACCCTATCCCCAAATAAGTAATATTTTTAAAAATTGGCTGCTTGATTTTGTTTTTGAAGGGCAAGATAGGAATCCAATGTATTAAGTTCCATTTTCTTTTCTTTTTTTTGGTCTTTTTGAGACAGAGTCTCCCTGTAGCCCCAGCTGGCCTGGGACTTGCTATGTAGACCAGGCTGGCCTTGAAGTCAAAGAGATCCGATTGCCTCTTCCTCCCACGTGCTGGGATTAAAGCCTGGCATAAGTTCCATTTAAGATTTGTATAGAATAATGAAGTAATTCCAACTAGTCGTTGCTGTTAGTGTTTAAAGAGTTTTAAAAATATCACTAAACTTAATAATTTTTGGTTCTTGTTTATCCAAAGACCCTTATAAAAAGATTAAATATATGTGTGGAATAATATCAAAAGTTTAGGCTTATGGGCTGGAGAGATGGCTCAGGGGTTAAGGCATAACACTAATATCCATAAAGTTAAAAAAAAAAAGTTTAGGCTTGTTGGTGAGGAGACCTAGTGGGTCAATGAGATTGAAACTTTTTCCCTAATAAGAAAAATTGTGGCCTGTCATGGTGGTACACGCCTTTAATCCCAGCACTCAGGAGGCACAGGCAGAGGCAGGCAGATCTTGTGAGTTTGAGGCCAGCCTGGTCTACGTAGTTCCAGGCCCGCTGGGGCTACAGGGATACCCTGTCTCAAAAAGACCCAAAAATTAACTAACTAACTAACTAACTAACTAACTAATTAACTAACTAACTAACTAACTAACTAAATAAATAAATAAAATAAAAATTGTGGAACTAGTTTGTAACAAGGGGGACAAATACATGCTAAGAATTCAGTATTATTCTTTTTAAAGCCTTTGTTTTAGAAAAGTACTCAATTTTGGATCTGAATTAGAGTACCTCATTTATTAAAGTCAAATTCTTTTAACATAATTCAGTTTTTTTTAAATTTATGGTTTATCTTTTTATTGTTTCTCCTTTTATCAAAACCTTTCACAGTTGGGAACCCAGAGGAAGTAAAAAAAAAAAAATTCCCACAAATATTTCCCCTGCTTCTCAAGAGTCCTCCCCTCACCTCCTTCCCATGGCTTCTAGCCATCCCTGGGCACACATGATCATCTCCCCCACCCTCAGCCTTCTCCTAGCAATAAATACAGGTGACCGTGATTCAATGAAACCACAAATTCAGTTCTAAATTTATAGTTAGTATTTATTTATTTATTTATTTGTTTAATTTATTTGTTTTTTTTTGAGACAGGGTCTCCTTGTAGCCCCAGCTGGCCTGGAACTCACTATGTAGACCAGGCTGGCCTCGAACTCACAAAGATCCACCTGTCTCTGCCTCCCAAGTGCTGGGATTAAAGACGTGCGCCACCATGCCTGGCTATATAGTTAGTATTTATAATACACAATTTTTGGCTTCTGAAATAGTATCTTGCTATGTTGCCCAGGCTGGCCTGGGTTCCTGCCTCAGTTTCTCAAAGTGTTGACATATACAGACATGTGTCACCATGTCTGGCTTGTGGTAAATGAATCCTTTAAAACAGTTGACTATTTGATGCAGGTTTTAAATTTGTATCTATGGGGTTGCTCGGTCTATGCATGGACTGAGACTAGACAGTAATTAGATCACTACCAGTTAACTTAAAAAAATATAGAGTTTAAATTAATAAACACCAAAATCCATATTGGCAATCATATTTAACTACATAGCCCCAGTACTGAGAATTTGATTTGCTTTAAATTCTTTTTTTGTTTTGTTTTGTTAGTTTTTGCTTGTTTGTTTAGTTGGTTTTTTTGAGACAGGGTCTCCTTGAAGTTCAATTGGCCTGGAACTCACTGTGTAGACCATGCTGACCTCAATCTCAGAGAGATTCATCTTCCTCTGTCTCCTGAGTTGCTGTAGTTAAAGGTGTGAGCAACCATGCCCAGTCTTTTTTTTTGGGGGGGGTTGTCTCCCTGTAGCCCCAGCTGGCCTAGAACTCACTTTGTAGAACAGGATGGCCTTGAACTCACAGAGATCCACCTGCCTCTGCTTCCTGAGTGCTAGGATTAAAGGCATGTGCCACCACACAAGCTTAAAGTTAATTCTTAATGATTTCAGTGTCCTGTCATTTTTTTCATGTGTGCTCTAGCATTTTTTGATGTAATTGAAGAGCCTACTCTCTGTCCCATGAATGTTAAGTCCTGGTCCATGAGTAGTGTACATAGCAGGCTCAAACATGAGTGGAAAAGGGTGGGGGATGTGAGTTGGTTGTACTTTGGTTTCAAGCTTTTGGTGAATGGAAGTGGCTGTAGGTGTTGGACATGGTGACGTGTACCTTTAAGCCTAGAACTCTGGAGGCAGAGAAAGGGGAATCGCTGAGCTAGAGGCCAGCCTGGTCTACATAGAGAGTTCCAGGAGATAAGCGTAGTTCATCGAATACCTTCATTTTAGTACCTAATGTATATGAAGCTGATTCCTTTGACCAGCTATGTGATCTTGAATAAGTAATCTGTAAGCCGTCATTTCCTCAGCAGTAAAATGGAGAAAATAGGAGCTCTTACCACATAGTGTTGATTTGAGTGCCAAATAATGTATATGTACATATAAAGCAATTAGAACAGCATATGGTAAGATCTCTGTTCACTGTTACCTTAAATGTATTATCTGGAATTATTTTGCAGAAGAAATAGGAAAAGTTAAAGTGGTATGATGTTCAGGTAACCTATCTTTTATTAAACTTTAAAAAGGATTAGAATGCTGTTTTTATTTAAGCAGGTAGGAAGAAAATTATTTCTTTTAATGTTGGTATTTGTTTTGTTTTATTAGGTATCAGCAGATGTTGCATACAAACTTGGTATACCTTGCTACAATAGCAGATTCTAATCAAAATATGCAGTCTCTTTTACCAGCAGTAAGTACCTTTAAAATAGTGTGAAATAGTCTTTATAGTTATACAGTATAATATAGCTTTGTTAGTGAATTTTATTAAGTCCTGAATTACTATGAGAATATGAACATATTCTATATTATCTAAAAGCTTAGTTGTTATACTGTTATTTGAAATAATTCAACTAAAACCAGTTCCCTCCCTGAGAAAGTTGTATCCATTCACCTATTGACCTGTCTTTTTATTTTTAATTACATAAGTAAATTGCTAATATATCTGGGGTATTTCACAGCAAACACCAGGTGTCTTATAATTTCAGTGTTAAATATATCCATATGCATCTCCAGTTGGTTGGACTACTATCCTACGTAATAAAATAAACCAGTTTCTCAATGTCTTATAATGTCCAGTCTTTGCAATTTTCATCAGTTTTCGCAAATTTAAATGCTCAACTGCCTCATATCCACAGAGGGTCCCTGTGTTGTGTTGGTTGGTGTATATGTATTACAGTCTCTTAATCTGTTTCATTTTTTCCTTTTATATGGCCATTTATTTGTTGGTGAACTGAGACATATTGTACAGATTGTGTCACCCTCTGGATTCTATACTCTGGGTCTTTTCACATGTTCTTTCATCTTTTGCCTTAAAACTGACAAGCTAGAGATTTAGAGTTAGGTTTTTGAGTATTTCATTGGCAGTTACGGATTTCCTGTTGGATCATGTTGGGAAGATGTGATGGTTCCATCTTGAGGTTTTTTTATTTTTCCTTTGTGTGTATGTGTTTTTTCCTGTGTGAGTTATGTGTTCCATATGTGTGCAGGTGCCCATAGAGGCCAGAAGAGGTCACTGTATCCCATGGAATACAGGTGGATTGCAGTTGCAGGTGGTTGTGAGCCTCCATGTGGGTGCTGGGACCTGAACCCTGTCCTTTGCAAGAGCTAGTAAGTGCTTTTAAACACTGAGCCATATCTCCAACCCTGGTTGTTCCACCTTTGTTGAGATTGACCAAGAGGTCCACTTGATGCCAGTCTGATCAATCCATTTTGAAGTTCCCTAATTATCTTTCAGTTAATGGATTTCTTAATATTTTGTTTGTTGTCTAGGCCTTTTCATTTTTGTATCATAGGCTATTCAAGTTTGAAAATTCCTCTTGCAGTTATGAGTTGTAATTCTCCTTTGTGGGGTGTGTGTGTGTGTGTGTGTGTTTGTGTGTGTTCTTTCATATGTGAATGTGCATATGCCTATGTGTATGTATGCATGCATGCATGTATAATGTGTGTACGTTTAAGCCAAAGACTGACATCAGATGTCCTTATTCTGCTTTATTTATTGAGTGTTTAAGAGATTACCAATTCTGGCAAGTGTAGTAAGCCTGCTTTCTCTTGGGATCCCGTGTTCTTGGCTTTTAAGCACTGGGTTTAGAGGTGGTCACAACACTGCTGGAAAAAACCCTGAGGTGGGAGAGATGGCCCAGCAGTTAAGAGCACTGACTGTTCTTGAAGAGGACTCAGGTTTGATTCCCACGTCCACATGACAGCTAACAGCCATCCATAACTCCAGTTCCAGGAGATCCAACACCCTCTTCTGACTTCTGTGGGCATTGTATGACACAGGTGCACTTAACATACATGCACTCATACACATAAAATAAAAAAAATTAATAAAGTATTAAAACGAAAAACTCTTGGGGCAGGAGAGATGGCAGAAGACCCAGGCATGGTCCGTTCTCATCAGTACAAGTAGTAACTCATTGTGACGGACTCTCAAAGCAGGATGTTGAAAGTAGAAGGCAGGGCATTTCCTCTAGGTGATTCTCTCTTCTTTTTAGATATTCAGGATGAAATCGGAAGTCTTGGTTCTGCTAGGCCAAGTGCTCTACACTGAGCCATACTCAGTGTTCTTTCACCAAAATCTTGTGATGCCTGGACGTTTGCAAAACGTCCTTGATGATTTTGGCTTGAGCTCCTCCATGCCTTCTCTTCGCCCACCCCGATAAGGTTTTCTGTGTGACTTAGGATTTGGGGCACATCTGGATTTTGTCAATTTGCCTTAATCTGTAATCTTACCTCAATAAAATATAGAGGGGTTTTAAAGTTGAAAGTGATGCAGCTTCTCAGATACATGCCCATCACACAGCCTCTTGCTTTTAAATGAAGACACAATTACTGTTGGTCTGAATGCTTATCTTGAGGGATTTTCTGAAGGAGAGTCACTCAGGATTTACTCTACATTGGCCTGAACTCTCTGCCTACTTAGCTTTCTGGGAGCTGTTTGTTGAGGTTTGGTCACTTGTTCTTTTGTCCTTGCGAGATGACTGACTCAGAGGTTAAGAACACTGGCTGTTCTTGCAGAACAGGTTCGAATCCCAGCACCCACATAGCAGCTAACAACTGTCCGTAACTCCAGTTCCAGGGGATCCGACAGCCTCTTCTGTCTTCTGCCGGCATTGCATGACACGAGTGCGCTTACCTACACGCAGGCAATACACGCATACACATAAAAATAATAAATAAAATATTTTTTAAAAATTCTTTATGAGAAGCTAAAGTGGCATATTTGAGCTCAACACAGAAATTAATTTTGGATCTGTAAATCTCGTAACTTAGAATCTTACCTGTTGCTAAATTATAAATGCTTAATTTTTGCATTTGTTTTTATGAAGTTTACATTTTTCCTTACAGTTCAACTAAGAGAGAAAATTTACCCATAGGTATTATATCACACCTAATTTCCCTATCATGTACTTAAAAACTGTCATGAAGAAAAGAGGCAGCCCAGTGTGGTGGTGCACACCTTTAATCCCAGCAGGTGAATCTCTTGAGTTCCAGGTTTAGCTGTAGCTATAGGGAAACCGTGTCTGAGAAAACCCAAATAAATAAATAAATAAATAAATTTTGCCTCTTAACATCTGTTCAAGATGAAAATCCCATGGTCAGTTTTTCATAAAAGATACGAGGAGGCTGGGTTGATGAAATGAATTTTAGAAAGAAAAGAAAGTGAATGGCAGGGGTTTGAGTCAATAAAGAGGAGACTGGTGAGGAAATAAGAATCATCCAATAGGTAAACAATTGTGTTGGAGGTGATGTAGGGAAACTGAGTTTGGGAAGAAAGCCTGCAGTAACAGAATGATGACTGGATTCTGCTGGAAGAGAAAATACTGTGAAAACTAATAATTGTAGTTGGAGATACTAGAGTATGAAAAGCGATGCGTGTGCGCGCGCGTGTGTGTGTGTGTGTGTGTGTGTGTGTGTGTGTTGACTGATAGCCCCAGCTTAAGGACTGTTCTTTAAAATGATTTTATCGAGGTTTTCAAAAATGAGACTTTTCACTTAGTTTTCAGTTAAATGGTTGTGGGAAATGGAAATGTACTCCTAATTATATGTAAGGTCCACCTTCAGGCTTTTCCTGCGCTCCTCAGAGGAGCTCTGTCAGTAGTATTACTTCATGTGTCTGCCTTGAGAACCTTCTCCTATTTGACAGTCAAGTGTCCAGAAACTGGAGATGAATGGAAAAAGCCCTAAAAGAAAAATAATATAAAGATAGTATTATAACACTTAGACATTTTATTTCTTAGGTTTAGCTCCTTATATCTCTCTTTTTATTATTAGAAAGCATTATAACTGTAGCAAAAGCTCCGAGATCCTCCTGCTTCTGCCTCCTGAGTGCTGGGATTAAAGGCGTGTGCCACCACGCCTGGCAACCTTATACATATTTTAACAAGAGACGGCAAATCAGAAATGGGCAAGAAGGGCTGCAGAGATTGCTCAGTTGTAAGGCGCTTGATGCTCAAGCATGAGGACCCGAGTTCTAGTCCCAGAACCCACATGAGAAAAGCCCAGTGAGATGGTGTACATTGTGATTCCCGTGCTGCACAGGTGGAGACAGGCTGCCAGTCAGTCAGCTAGCCTGCTTAGTGAGTACTAGGCCAGTGAGTGACTATTTCAAAAAGAATAAGGTGGGCAGCAGCAGAGGAATGAGCTCTGAGATTGTCCTCGATCTCTACATGCACATGCATACAAATGCATGCACACCTGCACACACAAATAAGCAAAAGCATGTCCTGTACCAATATACACAACCATTGGTACCTAATAGCCAAGGTAGCATAGAGAAAAAAGTTTATAAAATACTGACAGAATTCAAAAATGTAGAATACTCTGGCTGCATTTAATGTAAGTATATAGGGCTTGATGTATCATGATAAGTCTTGGGGATACCATTAGAATACTGGTTCTTAGAGTTATTTTCTTTGTGAAACAGCAAATAGCTAATGTAATTATTTTCATCATTTGAACTAGGAACAGTTTTACCGTAGAAAATAAAGACTTTTATATGTATATAGATCTTTCTTTCTCAAATATACTTTGAGGAAATTATATAGAGAAAATGGTAAAATTGTGAAAGGCTGGAAATACAGCTTAGTTGGTGGAGTGCTTGCCTAGTGTGCATGAAGCCTTGCATTCATTCCGTAGTACCTTATAAACTGCATGGTGATGCATACTGTAATCCCAGAACTTGGGTGATAGAGGCAGGAGAATCAGAAGTTCAAGGTCATCTATAGCTACACAGCAAGAGGGAGAATGAGACCCTGAAACACATACAACACAAAAAAGTAGGCAATTAAATGGTTTAAAAAATTATGAGAGAACAGTTGGGATCAGTGAAAGTTTCAAGTTTTTATTCATTAATTTTTCTTGAGGGAAAATGGTCTTTCTGTTGCATTTTAAGTCACACAATCTAGAAATGTTTTCACAGAATAATACCCTTTGGTTATCATAGAATATTATTTTCTAACCTTGGTTGCTTGTCAGAATAAAAAAATATTTAAAGGTACAACCAGTAACTGGATTATCTGGGGTGGGGTCATGTTACTGCATTTTCAAAGCCTTTTAAGTGATTCTGATGGGCAGTAAGGGATTGAGAACTTACATTTTTGAATGAAGCATTCAGAGATAATGTGGTGTATAGAACTTCAGAAAATAGCATTTATATTCTTATATCAGTTTTATCTGGTAACAAATTAT